AACCATAAATTGAAAACGAAAAATTGAAATAACTCTGAAAATTCAAACCTAAATATTCGTTAAAAATTCGTACCTATTTTGCCACTTTTCGAAATTTTTGAACCTATTTTAGCCTTTTTTCAAACCTATTTAGGTGCCTATTCTCGGGTTTTTTGGACCTAAAAAACTCTCTCTGGTAATCATTATTTTATTTTCTCGCTAGGATAGATAATTAATAAAGTTATATTTTTTAGAGTTTTATTTTTTAAGTTTTATCTTTAGCTATATGAAAATCAAATTTATTTTTTTCAAAACATACCTGGTAATAAAAAGAGAAATAACTTCAATAATAGTAATTAAAGAAGAAAAAATAGTTGCTAAGTTAAGGTAGAGTAATATTTGATCATTGTTTTTAACATAATTTGTAATATAAAAGAGAAAACCAAGAGTACAAATCCGACCAAAATTTTGAATAAAAATTAATGTAGCTACAGATTTAAGAATTGCTTCACGCAGAGATTGACCTTCAAATAAAAGTAGAGTAGCACGAGGTCAAGGTTTTTCGAAAAAGCCAAGGCCGAGGATCACCGAAGGCTGGAAAAGCCGAGATCGAGGTCGAGGGGCAAATTTTGACCCGAGACCGAAGTCGAGGATAACCGAGGTTTTTAAAAATTTGTATAACTTTTCAAGATCTACTTAAATTTGATAAAAATTTATCAAATAATCAGTAAATGATTACAAATTAATATCCTTGATCAAATAATTTCGAAGCTTTGATCAGCTTTTTTCAAACATTGTATTTGAAATTTGATTAACATAAAACTGAACTGGCAATCCGAGCCGAAATTTTCGATTAACCGAAACTGAACCGAAATTTTGAAGGACTAAGGAGATATATTGAGATAAGGTGGTGGGGCAAACGCGGATTTGAGTGATTGATAACGGGTGATAAAATGGGTTTAATTGATTAAGGGGGTTCTTATAAATATCAGTGTATTAATAACGGATAAAGGGATTTGAACTGATAAATCGAACCGAAAATTCCGCAAATCCGCAACTCGCTATTTTAATTTTAAAATCCGCAGACGCAATCCGCAAGTCAAAAAAACACGCTATTTTACGCAATCCGCAATTGTGTCCAGCCCTGATTTAGACGGATATCGGACAATTGATGGAATTAGAGGAATCATGAATGATATTAATTAGTTGGATTTAAGGATTTAAGAAGATTTGCGGGATTAAGGAGGATAGCAGGGGGTTAGGAGGATAACAGCAGTGGGATTTTGGAAGGCCACTGAGCAAGATTTCTTCTTTTTCAGCGCCGTAGGCGAAAATTTTTCGATTTTTGGGAGGTCAAGGAGCCAGATTTCTTCCGTTTTTTACAAAAAAGTCAATTCTTAGGGGTGTATATTTACCCTCGGTCCTCGGCGAGGTTCTGGCGAGGACCGAGACGAGGTTCCGAGGCCCGAGGTCAGCAAAATCAAGGTCGAGGTTGAAAAATCGCCGAGGACCTCAACGAGGCCTCAACCTCGGCCTCGACCTGTTGCTACTCTAAATTAGAGTTCAGCGGTATCGGGATTTAGAGAAAAACCCGGGATCGGGATTTAGGAATAGTCATCCCGATCCCGACACGGGATCGGGATTAGCCGAAATCGGGATCGGGATTTGGACTGGAGATCCCGATCCCGGTCCCGATCCCGAATCGGGACCGAGATTGAAAAATCGGGATCGGGATTTACTAAAAAATTTTTTAAAAATTTTTATTTTCTTCACATACGACTCAGTATAATTCTAAAATTGCCGCTGCGGTGCTGAAATATAGAGTTTAAGTCTCATAAACACATAATTTACTTTCCGGTTGGGGATTATGGGGAGATAAGGGGATTAAGGGAGATAATGTAGGGGATTAGAGGAGATAAGGTAATGGGGGGGGGGGATAAATGGGATTGGGCTTCTATTTTAAGCGCCGTAGGCTAAAATTTTGAAAAATTTGGAAGGCCAAGGTGCCAGATTTCCTCCCTTTTAAGCGTCGCAGGCAACATTTTTTAATTTTGGAAGGCCAAGGGCATTCAAGTCTAATTCAAGTCTAACGATACGCTAAAACGTGGACGATTAAGAACTGACATTGAGGTATTAAGTGATATATTCATTTAGCAATATCACTTAAGCCCTCGATTTCTCTTCAAATCTAACTCAATCCCTGTAAATCCACCGATACTCCTCTCAATCCCTCTTGATCCCTCGATAATACACCAAATCACTCAATATTTCATTAAAGTTGTAAAGACAGCTTTGTTCATTTTTGCGGCGCCGCAGACGAAAATTTTGAGATTTTGGATGTCAACATGCCAAATTTTTTCCATTTTCTGCGCCGCAGGCCAAAATTTTTCTTACTTTCATGCCTCCCCTCTTTTGTTAACTTTATTTCACAGACTTCTAGTCAATTTATAAAGTCGGGATTTGCATCGAGATCTGATGCACATCCCGATCCCGATCCCGGATCCCGGCTCGGGATTGAGAATGACCGGGATCGGGATCGGGATATTTATTTCGGGACCGGGATCAGAAAAATCGGGATCGGGATTCGAAAAACCCGGGATAATCCCGCCCGATCCCGACCGGGATCCCGATCCCGCTGAACTCTACTCTAAATAAAAGTATAAAAAGAGTTTGCAAAAGTTTAGCCACCGGGCAGGAACCTGCGAACCTGCGACCACCTGCTAGTTGTGGCTAGGCACTTTCGCTCACTATATACAGGAGCTCTAACATTTAACTACCGAAGCATCGACTAATGCTTCCTCTTTTTCCTTATTAGATTGTTAAATCTCCCGCCTAAGCGTTTTAAATGCTGCTAGGTGAATCATCCCTACAGTATATACGCTTAAATCTCGATAAGGCAGCTTTATGTACGAAGTAGAGTTGCGCACCGACTCCGTTTCCGAATAATGTGTTCAAAAATAAGTTCTGCTATGAGCTAGGCGGAAACGATTCGAATGTCGGAAGTCAGAAATGGCATACAGAATGCCTTGTGAAAATGTCAAAAAGACTAATTCTGGATAAAATGTCAACTAGTGAATGCTTTTGATCTCCTAGTATTTATTTGTAAGTAGAGCTGTCTGGTTTAGCGAATTTTTCGGTTAACCGAACCGAAAGTACTGTAAGCGATTAAACATATTTTCTTAAAACCCTAAAATAAATTAATTGCCTATCGGATCCTTTCCAAATATCGCTTTTAATAAAATAATAAAATAGCAAAATAATGTAAAAATAACACAAATAATTGAAAATAAAGTAGTAAATACATAGTTGTAATTAAATGAACAATTTGAAGGACTTAAAATAAAATCTTTTAAAAATATTTAAAATTATTTAAACCTATTATTTGACAAATCTTGAATAATTAAATATAAATAATATAAAGGATACAAAAATGGAGTGCCTACCAATAAAATCCGATAAAGTTTGCTCTTATTTTGCATATACCTTTTAAATAAAATTAAAATTATGTTTTTAAAAATATAAGTTAGATGACGATCCTTAGTAACCATAAGTTTCGATTTAGCAACATAGTTTTTATATGTACTATCATCACTCAAAACTTTTTTGTATGTTTTAGGGTTGAATTCTTGATGAATTCTTGGTTTTGATCTCACTTAAAACTAACCAAATAGGAAAACAAATTCCAAGCATTCTATCAATTCCAATTGATACCATAAATGTAAAAGTGCCCGTCATTAATGCTAGAGGTATTAGAGCAATTAAAACACAAACATAAGTAGGAATTGTGCTCTGCAGAACATAAAGTATGTAAGACGGTAACAGAACGACTTTAGAGCAGGCTTGAGATAAAGAATAAAGTCCAAGTAGAATGTGGCAAAGTGTATGGAGATCCCTGAAAGGTTGAAACGTTATCAATGGAAATCTATATTTTTAGAAAATTAATGGGTATTTAATCTATATTTGATATTTTTGGTATTCTTGTCAATTTTTTGGCATTTTTAGAGAAAAGCTTAAAACAACCCTTATCTTATTTTTAATTTTATTAAAAATTTAATTTATTAAAACAAAAAAATTTACTTATATTTTATAGTTAAATAAACAACATTTCCAAAAAGTAAAAGTCCAATAGTGTCAGTAAACAAATTTATTGTTTTAAAAACAAATGTTTTTATATCCATAATATTTTTTTTAATTTGTTTCTGTCAAATAAAGGAATAAAAAAATGTTTGTTTAACTTAAACAATTAATTAATTAGATTTTTAGAGAGAGATTTGTTTTGATTGTTTCGTTCTATAATACGTAGGTATGTATGTAAATATTAATGTTTTAATAGATTTTTGATTTTTTATTTGTGAAAATAAAAATTATTTAATATTTTTATCCCAGTAGTCTACTTCAACACTCCCTCTTTTATGGGGAGTGTTGAAGTAAACAAGTAATGGTTACACATGTCACAAGTGAAAAATTGAATTTGTTTGGTCTACCACGGATAAATGTTGAGTAAATTATTTGCTATGAAATTTTCCCATAAATTACAATAATAATAATTTTCTCATAAACTTAAAAACGCTTTCTTTTCTAATATGTATAATTTTATTAAAGTAAAAGGTTAAAAAAATTAAACTTGAGGGATAATGAAATTTACTTATAGTTAATTTTTTTTAATATTTTGGAGTCCCTCTTGTACATACCTCTCCACGTAGATTTAATTTAAAAATCAAGATATGGGTCCCAAAAATCGAAAAAGCTTAGGGGGATTAAGCTCAATTTTGGGGTGGAAAATTCGAATATGCAAACTTTTGGGTTGTTGTGAAAGTTAAAAATTATCTATATAATTCAAATATACATAAAACAAGTGAGTACTTTTAAGGTTAAAATTAAAGAACAGCATTTTTAATGAAATTAAACAATAAAGGAAGGAAAGAGGCCAGAGCCCGATCTACTAAAATTTAGATGTATGTGATTTTATTTATTTTAATAAAAAAAATTTTTATGTAAATTGTTTAATTTATTTAGTCAATTTCTTCACTTTTCGGGCCTCGTCCAGCCTAAAAAATACTTTTTAATAATATTTTAATTTTTATAACCTGTGATTTTTGTTGGCCTTTTTGTCCTGCTCCACGGGAACGGTGAGCAAGCCCACCAACTGAACGAGTGTTACGTCCTTTCATTGTCTCGTTTTTTATTTCCTCTCCTTCTTGTTGGCCTGCTAAATAATTTAAAATGGTACAAATCGGGGCAAAATGAGTACTATATTATTTATTAAATATGTACTTGTGTGCTATCAGGTGCTGGATCAAAAATAAAAATTAAAGAACTTTAAATATCTCTTTATTTTTTTAATAAGGAATCTCTTCTATATGCTCTCTAATATCTCTTCTAAAAAATCCAGAAAAAATTTTGCCCTCACAAGGGAAGTAAATTAGTGAATTCAAGTTTGGTCAGGGACAAGCATGTCTGTGCGCGGAGTCTTAAAATTTTTCTATATACATTTCATACGCGATATTATATTTTTAATACTCTTAATTTTTTTTGCATAACTTTGTCCATTAAAGTTTTTAAAAAATAATTACAAACATGTTTCCCCAACATTTTTTAATTCAACAGATCCACTTTCATTATTTGAAGTAATTTCTGTTTCATCATCTTTTTCCCCCTTTGAAATTTCCTCAACTTCTCTTTTATGTTGTTGATGTTGTTTCTTTTCAGACGAATTAATTATTTTTGAAGGGGAACGTTTTTTAACGTTGATATTTTTCTTTAAATTTAATTTAAATTGAAATACATATTTAAAGGATGCGTAAATGCTAAAATAGTGTCTCTCTCTCAAATAATAATTACCCCCGCTATATTAATTACCCCCTACAGTCAGATATCGAAAAAATAACCCATCTTAAAAATAGTTATACATAATTAGCCTTTCTAAAAAAGCTCAACTAATGGCTCTACTCCAGTTTATGCGTCCAATCGACTTTTATGCGTCCAATGAAAGTTTATGCGTCCAATAAAAAGAAAATCTTGGTATTGCACAGTTGGGGTATGGGTCCACAACATTTCTTCATGTTCGGGACCTACCTCCACTGGGTCTGGGACCATTCCTTACCCTATACCTCGAAATTTTTTAAAGTTACAGCCAATTTTTTAAAATTTCAGAAAAACGATTATAACTTTCAGAAATTTCGAGGGGTCGGGTAAGGAACGGTCCCAGACCCAGTGGACGTAGGTCCCGAACATGAAGAAATGGTTTGGAGCCATACCCCAACTTTACAATACCAAGAAAAATCCAATTTTCTTTTTATTGGACGCATAAACTTTCATTGGACGCATAAAAGTCGATTGGACGCATAATCTGGAGTAGAGCCCAACTAATTACCCCCTCCCTTTTAATTACTGTAAAGCATATAGCTATTTAATTCCTAAGGCTGCAGTAGGCTGCGTGGTGTAATTGATAAACATCAGTCCGGTCAACTGAAGATGCTGGTTCGCTCCCAGTCGCCGAATAACCTTTTGCACTAGCTAAAGGAGAGAAATGGCTATAGCCCAGCAGCTTTACTTCACCCTCTCCAGCTAGAGGTTAAACATTAATTACCCGGGTAATTAATACAGTATACACGCTATAGTAAATACCTCTTTTGAATTGTTCCAAGGACTTTCTATATCAGAAGAATTAAAAGAAGAAATATCAGATTTTTCAATTTCCTCATCATCATGTAAAGGAGTATCATCATCTTCGTCTCGCTTTGGACGAATTTCATTTGTCCCAAAACTTTTAATTAAATTAAATATTTTTTTGTTTATTTTATACCTTTGATTATTATTTTTATCATTTTCTGACGAGGATAAACCATCAGCTTGATTAGTTGACAAAATACCAGACAATGAGACGTTTATAGAATCATTTTCGAAAAAATAATTTTAATTAATTAAAATATTTTTTAAAATTATTTAAAAAAATTATTTTCGATATTTTTGTTTTAGAAGAACAACAAAATAATTTTTTGTTAAAAATAAATTTTATAAATATTTTTTAAATTAAATTTCTAACCATTTATATTTGAATGTTTGGGCGATACTACAGAAAAATTAGCAGTAAATAACGAGTAACCAAGTAAGAAAATCGGAATCATTGAATTTGGGGAAATAAAATAATTCATTATTTTATAAAAATAATCTGAAAATTATCAAATAAAGCAGGGAAGAAAAAAGAATATTTAATTATTTAGGATGGGTACATCCCGATGTACATCGAGCCCAATGTACCGCCAGGTTATAACTTTGTTCAAAATTGTCAATTCCGTGGTGCCTGGTATGGTTCGATTCAGCTGGACGAGACGCATCGAACCATACCAGGGCACCACGGATTCGACAATTTTGAACAAAGTTATAGCTCGGCGGTACACTGGCATTTAGAATATATTCTGGATAAATTCTATTTATTTTTAAATTTAAAAATTAAAAATTCTTCTTATTTTCACACCAAAAAATATCAAAATATGGATGTGGGAATTGTTGAAATTATTTTTAAAATTTATTTTCAATCCAAAAATATTTTATATATTTTTATATACCCAATATTCACTTCAATTTTAAATTTATGTTCGTTAAAGTCAATTAAAAAGAGTATTCCATAAAAAATTATTTTTATGAATCAACGGCCCTCAATTAAATTATTTTTAGTGAGGACATAACAAAGCAATTATATAAATATCTATATTTAATAATTATTTTTTAAATTGCCCAATTCAACCAAATAATAAACAAAAAATGATTGAAAGGCAAATTTAGAATTGAATTATTTTGATGTGATCAATAAAAAAATTGCCAGAAAATTTATACAAAAAGTAATTATTTGGAAAAACTTTTTTTAATTTTTAAATAAATATATGTACATAACAGGGATCCTCCCGACAAAAATACAAAATTCACGATTTCGGAAAATCGAGATTCTGACCCAAAATAAACGTCGGAAATTCCCGATTTTCGGGAATCGGATAACGGGTCGGATACATAAATGGACTAAAAATAGGAAAAAATCTGAGGAAATCCATAAACTATTGCCCCTGAAAAATTATTCTGTTATCCTTCAGTATATCCCACATCAGAGCTGTACAAAATTTTCGTTTCGTTTTTGTTTCGCACATTCACGATTTTATTTTTTTTCGTCTTCGTTTCGTTGAACACAAAATTTCATTTTCGTACAGCTATGGCCCACCAATAATTTTAATATGTAAGAAAAATTGAAATTTTAAAGGGACAGTAGTTACTGAATTGAAATATAATAGTGGCACTGAACCGTCCCTTAAAATTTTCAAAAATAACACACGATCTTTTGTCAATAAATTTTTCGTCAATTAATGTTTCTCCATTTGTTAAATTTTTTATTAATTGTTAACATTTTTTATCACACATTTTAATGATATTATAATTATTTAGAGAATTTTTCTTTTATTTCGAATATTTTAAAAAACCCGTGAGAAAATTAAAATGAAAGGTGTTTCAGCAGGAAAAAGAAAAAGACGTTCAAAACCGAAAACTAAACCAACAAAATTTAAAAAACAACAAAAAAGAGAACAAAGTGAAGAAATAAAAACAGAAAAGAAGCAAAATCCCTTTGATTTGGCTTTTAATAAAAAACATGGGGTTGGCTTTTGAATTAATTATTTTAATATGTATATTTTTTAGGGTAATTCTAAAAAACAATCAAATGGATTTTTGGGAAAATCAAAGGTAATCAATTTAAAATTAAAATAAATTTTTTAATATTTTTCTAAAAATACAAATATTTCGTCTCATCTTTATTTTGCCTTTTTTCGGTTTTTCAATTCCTATTAGGGTTGGGGTTTTCGAGTCTGGCCGACGTTCTAGTCATTTTTTTCGGGCTTCAATTTATGGACGGACCGACGAGTCTTTTTAGGGCCAAAATTCAACGCCCGACTCGATTTTTCGGACCGAGCCGGATCGGGCCACCAACCCTAATTTTTGTTTTTCCATTTTCACCCTCCCGAAAATAGAAGGATTAGACATGGTTTGACAAAGTTATGACATTAAGTAGACCCATCGGAGTCGACGACTTATGTCATAACTTTGTCAAATCTTGTCCAATCACGTTGATTTTGGTGCCATTCGACACAGCTCGATGAGTTCTACAGTTTTTGACAAACTGACCATTTTTACATTTTACAGAAAAAATTGACTGGGGGAGGGAAACTAAATAAGTACCGAAGGGGATTAAGCTTAAATTTGGTTTTAAAAATTCTAACACATGGATAATAGGTTAAGGGACCTATGTATTATGAGTTTAACAAACAAGACAATTAAATTAAAAAATTTTTACGGGAAAATAAAACAAAAAATTACCGATAAATTTTAAAAATAATTTTTTTTTGAAGATTTTTGATCGAAGAATTGGCCAACGTAATTCCCAACTTACCGAAGAAAATAAAGGAGAAAAACGTTTTATTTTTCAACAAAAAAAGTTGCCAGAAAAAAAGGATGCTGAAATTGGAGGTTTTTTAAAAAGAGTTTGGCCCTATCCCAAAAGAAGGGCAGAATCGTTTTTTTCATTACTTGCAAGGAAAGGAAAAATAGAGAAAAATGTATACGGACAAAAAAAACTCGGACAGACAAGAAACGGACGTAAATATTTTGTCTGTTCGAGTCCGTCCGAGTTTTTTTGTTTGTCCGTGTCCATCTGCCTCCATTTTTCCTTTCCTAGCAGGTAACGAAAAAAACCGATTCCCCCTTCTTTTTGGATAGGGTCAAGAGTTTTGTTTAGTTTGTAATACATCACTCTCGACTGGAAAAGAAACTCCTCCCACTTTGAGAAAGATATAAAGCTTTATATTCTCTTTTTAGTGGTTCCTTTTTTTTCCCCCTATTGTTCTTTTTGGCTTTTGCTGGCGGAACCACGCTCGCCAACATTATATTTAATTTTCGGAAATAAAATTTAATTGGAAATGTTTTTCTTATTTGTTTATTCATAAAGTCCCCAGTGCTAACCCTTACAAATGGAGGTCCTAGGCTAACCACACAGCCAAAAATGAAATTATTAAATTGAAAAATTTAACAAAAAATAAAAAATTACTGCACGAACAATGGAAAAATTTAAAATTAAAATAAAATTCAACAAATATTTAAAAATTATTAAAAAATATTCAAAATTCTTTAAAAATTAAAAATTCTTTAAAAATATTAATTATTGGCCCATTCGAGTGAAACTTCTTCCATCGGGGCCCGGGTACCAACGGTTCGAAGTCGTCGAGCAGCAGTAAATGGAATTGTCGTCAAGGGCACATGACGACGTAAATATCGGTTAAAACGAACAACAAAATACAAAATAACACCAAGAACAATTGAATGGACAACACCGACGGTAAAAAGCACAGACACAGTAATCCAGTCAAAAGGACACGAAAGTGAAGGAGGATGTTCAAGCGGGGTCTCAGAGCAGTAGGTTGGTTCGATAAAGCTTAAAAGAGAGTTTAGGTAAGAAGGAGTAGATTTGAGTGTCGAATCGGAGTATAGGTGATATGACGGAATTTTACCCAGGTGGAAAAATTTTCTTGGTTTTATATGCATTGTGTTAGTAATATAGGTGTTTTGAAACCGAAAGAAATTCTATCACAAAAATCGCAAATTTTAAATAGGAAGGAAAAAATCGTTGAAAATCGAAATTTTTACTAAAATATAAGGTCAAAAATCCGTAAAATGAAATTTCCAATAAATTCCAAGAAAATTTTTTAATGAACTACAAACAAAAAGGGGTTTTTCTCACCGAAGTGAAAGCCGATTCAAATGTTTTAGTATTTTTTCAAACCTACCCAATTGGGTGATAACAAAACCAAGGGCAACCAGGACAATGATCACTAGTATCAGCCAACTCCCAACCAAGAAAAATGCCGGGGGGTTCGTCAAAGGAGGTAGAAGCAGAAATAAAGAATAAAGTAAAACAAAGGAATAAGTGCATTGTTGAAGAAAATAGATTTACCGGTCAGACCTCGCTATAAGATACACCCGGGAAAAGACCGCACCTTATAATGAGGCGTATTTTAAATAAGGGAAATTAACCAGAATGTGACTATACCCCGGAGAATAATTAAATTTTAGGAAAGGTATCTTAAAAAGAGGGTATATCTTATAGCGAGACCCAATGATAAATTTAGGAAAATATATTTTTTTAATATTTTTAGTTGGGGAAATGAGATTTAATAGTAAATAAATAATGTTTATAATAAGGATAAAATAGAATAGAAAGAAAGGCAGGTGCTAATTAACATAAATTTTTTAAAGTTTTGGCCCATCCTAATAATTTTTCACTTTCCTTCCAAAAAAATACAATAGAATGAGAAAATAAAAATAAATAAGCGGCAACAAAAATAGAAGAGAACCAAAAACAAGTAAAAAAGTGGAAATTTTAAGAAAATAAATTAGGGGACAAAAAGCAATATTATAAGCATAATATAGGGAGTTTATTAATAAAATTATTATTTTAAAATAAAATGACAAATTGTCCCATCTCAAAATGTCCAACGGAGTAAAAATAATCAATTTGTCGAACTATAAATTAAAAAAAATGGAGTAATAGTAATGAAAATTAGATTTGAATATTTTGACCTGAAATAAAAGTAAAATTATACATTAATGAAATTGCCAAAAATAATAAGCAAAAATAACAAAAATAAGTAAAATTTCTAGGTATAAATTATATTTTTCGGCATATTTTCGTGCATATTTTGTATTTCTAGTGCATAAAAACCCATCTAGTGTAAAATAAAAATTTCTACAGTAACCCCAAAAAATAGTAAAAATAATAAATCAAATAAGGACACTAAAATAAAGTATCCGTAAATAAAAGTACATCTGATATCACATGATTTATTTGTCTGGAGTTAAAAAAAAAATATATAAAAATTGAAAAAATGGCAAAAACAAAGCCATTCATTTAAAAAATATATATGGAGGAAGAGCCAAGAAGCGCCTCCGGCGCCAAAAAACAAAAACAAAACAATATATCAAATATTAGAAAAAATATTTTTGCCCTTTTTGGTTGAAAAAAATAAAAAGAATTTTAGGAAATAACTCCAAAGTGGAAAGGAGGGCCCCCTGAACACTGGCAAATAAATCCCTTGTGATACTTTGGAAAAAATATATATTTTTTAAGCTTTTAG